CTTTAATAAAAAGAATGCATTTCTACATTTTTTCAGTAAGTACCTATAATATTATATAAATAAATCATGTGATGAACTGGTAAAAAGTTTTACATACATTTTAATTCTTATTATATTTTTTCCTTCATCATTATGTTTGTTATTTTATTTACGTTTCTCCTGTTGCATATTCGGTTTCCCTAAGGTTGCCTTGAACTGATTACTTTTAGCAATAAGGCCGACTTATTGTAATTATACATCTGTTCTTTAATATGTATATTGTTTATGTCCTTTCTTTACTAAATGTTACAAATAAAGTATCTAGTAGTCAATTCTAAAAAGAGATCTTCAATTATCTGTACCTATACTATAGTTCTTTTACTTTTTCTTATGCGTGACTAGGACATATCGATTGACGGGGATAAAAATAGCATCATGTTCTTGTCTATTCCAAATACTCCATTTATGCCAGACTTAATGACAATTGGATAACAAGTTAAGGCACCAAGAAAACAAAATATATATAATATTAAATTTAGGTTCATATTATTAATTCAAAATATTCACTTTTACATCATTATTATCTTCTAGCCTTTATTCATTGCTAACTTTATATATTATATTTACATAACATAAATTATATATGTACAGAGATTTTGTTTAGTTATTTATATATATATATATATATATATATATATATAGTATTATCACAGATTTTCACCATCTAGTCACCATCTTACTGCAACGCTTTCTAGTTTTACCCAAAGGTTCGCTGGTAGAGAATGCCATATGGAACTATGCTCGCCTCTTGTACACTTTTTATAGTGCAATAAAGAATAAAAAAAACTTTTTTGATATTGTATTCTCTATGTCAATGTTCACTGTCTTTCTCATCATATTAACATTTACATGTTCCATTTTAGGTCTTCCTCAACTCTTATGATTTTCATTACAAAACCTGCTCAATATATACTATATACGTCAATACCAAGACTTAACGTGCTCGTTTAGTCTTGGTATTCGCTTATCTTAATTATTATATCAGTTTTGTATAGGTACCTAATTGTATCACTCGCACAGAATCTTGTAGGTATTTGCAAAAAATAAACCTTTTTGGTTTTAGTAGATTGTGGATAATTCCCGTTAAAGCCAATCTCATTTAGAGTGCCGAGCAATTGGAGTTCTGCCACAGCGTGGATTTAATTTCTTTTATACTGACTGTGTTTTAAATGACACAGTGTGATTGTCTCGATCACAATGGAGAACCATTGCGTAGTGTACCGACATGTTTCTCATGATGATGATGTGCTGAATCATTATTATCATCGTTATCTATATGGCAAATTACTGTTACCTACTTTCTAAATTTATATATGTACAATATGTATTTGATGACCCTGAATTTGGCTGCTTAGACGTAAACACACTTGTATAATAACAGAAAAATAAATCTATAACAATTTATACTACGAATTAGAAATTATTATTATTATTATATTTTATTATAATGTAATAATAGTTATAATTTTCTAAATATTTCCAGTGCAACATATCTGTTATCATAACATGGGCAAAACCGCGGGTTACATCTACTTTCATTACATACAGTATCAAATCAAGTAACCTTGTCTAACCTTACTTCGTAAAGGGCTGTACGACGTGGGATGCTTTCGAAACTAAGAAACAGAAGAGAGACTAACTTAGTTTAAACAGCGTTCATCTCAAGTTACAAGTTGAATTCACTTAAGTTGAACATAACTTCTATGTAGAATATTCTCTAGATAAGTTACATTAATGCAACTTGAGTAGCCAACTTTGATATGCGATTCCAGTTGGAAAAGCTTTACAGAATAGTAGCCATTCATGTAGTTTTCCAACAAAAGTATGATAATGGCAACTGGTCTGTGTTTAAGGAAAGTTATAGGCTTAAAATGGATATGGATATGAATAGATTTGCCAACTACATTTTGTGTGTTTATTTTTATCCTTAGAGGCATGAAGTGACAAAGTTATATGCTACTAACATACTGTATGTTTAATATGTTTCCATAGGTGATTTTTTTTTGGTGCCTAGTCTAGTAGGTACTATTTCAGCTACCCATGAACAATTTTAGAAACAAACAAATCTATACTTCGTCATTATCATCACATAATATAAAATAAAGTCGCTACCTATGTATCCCTGTAGTCTGTCCCTATGTATGCTTAAATCTTTAAAACGACGCAACGGATTTTGATGCGGTTTTTTTAATAGATGCAGTGATTCAAGAGTAAAGTTTACACGTAGAATGTATGTACACCCGTGAGAAGCTGGGGTGGGTAGCTGGTATACTCTAAATCTAAAGATTTTGTTTACTTGATTGCGTCTTAGGTGATCTTTGCCATGCTTTACTTCTCATGGTCGCGAATTCGATTCCTCGCACGGTCATAATTTTTGTATCCATGATTATGATTATTTGAATCGGTCCCGGTATTTTCTTCATATATTATGTATGTATTTTTAAAAAATGTATCCAAGTATTTATGTCAGTTATTTAGTATAAATAATACAAGCTGCTTAGTTTGGCGCTGCATTAATTGTCCAGATGAAAATAATCTTTGAAAGTGCTAGTTTGTATCGAAATATTCTTTTAATATTGGTGTTGTATTTGTATTTAACAAGGAACATTATAGGCTACAACATCACGCTATAACCAATAAGAAAGCAGCATAAACGAAAAAAATAACAAAATCAGGGAAAAACTGTACCTTATCTCTTATGTGATAAAAACGAATTTGCGCAGGTAATCTAGTTATATTATAGTATATAAAATTATTACAGAATACAAATTATCTAAAAATACACTTGAAAACTTACCTGCGAGTTACATAAATATATGTTAATCATAAAATAATAGGTTGCTATTTTTTACGCTGTCATAACAGTTCCCTTTAAAACAATAGAGGGAATACATCCAACAACCCCTGCACATTGTAACTTGTTTGTTTTGCATGCAGGGGCAATCGACTGTGAACATGGCTGATCTCAGAACACATAAATTAGTCTGTATTCAGATTTCCTGCACTGTTTATGGACGTTAAATAAATGTAACCATAAAACTAGTAACTGAATAATTAATCCAACAAAAAATTAATAAACTTTCGTAATTTGTACAAAAAAATTAAACGTTAATTAAATGTAAACGTAAATACTTAAAGCTACTAACTAATGAATGCACTAAATAATTAATAAACGTATGTAATTTATGTAAATATTTTCTTTTTTATATTATTATAATTTATATGTTTTGTGTTCTCAGAACTTCGTAAATTCTGTGGTACTTAATTAATTTGTTAGTTAGTAGTGGTAGCCAATATCACCAGGTAGGCACCACTACCACTAGTGGTAGTTAACTTTTGAATAAACGAAAACGGTAATAATAGAAAATATTGATTTTCTTATCCTGAATTTGGCAAAATTTGCTAAAATATTGTATAGTGTAAAGTGAATAAATGAAATATATATTTCCATTCCTCTATCTTTCCACTTCATTTGTAATTCAACAATTTGTATCAAATGCCATCCAGTAAACAACAAATCAACATTGGATCGACAGTCATCGAATCTACGTGATACATCAAATGTCAAATTATAGATGGCTCTTGTAAACTGAAACATGAATTAGCTTCGGTTAGTCCGCTTCGCTTGCACGTTGGTTGGTTGAATGGATTTCCTGTTGCTATACCAACCGTGATGTTATAATAGATTTACTAGTGAACCGAATCAGACTCATTAATGTAATCATTGTTCCAATTATGTATAACTAAATCATATGCTTAATAATAAACTATACAAAATTATATAATTATAAAACTAGCTCTAGTCTTTCTGCTTTCTGCATAAGGTAAAGTAAAATTCATCACATCACACCACGTTACAAGCTTTTATATTATGATGGTGGCAAATAAGCATACGGCTCATCTGATGGAACATCACAGGTTTTTCAAGGCACTGCAAGAAATGTGGTACACTGTATGTCAACTAAAGTCGTATATTACAGAAATTCTTTCTCGAGAATTAAAGTGAAATAAGTTGGTTAATTAGAGTAAGTACTAATCAAAACCAAACTTTGGTACACGTCTATTCTTACAAAAGAAGATCTCAACTACAATATGGTATTAATTAGACAACTAAAGACAGATATTTGAACAATGGATATTTCATTACATAGAACATAAAAGCTAAGTTCTATACAGACTTGTTTCCTTACCACACTGAGTTAACAAGTATATGTTGGCCAGCCAATTAGTACCTACCTACGGGTAACTTGCTAATGTTGTCCGTAGAGAATCGCTTGTATAGCTATGCTATAAAACTTATTGACCTTACCTAGAAGTTTGTAACATAATAATTATGTACTATTCAATTGTTTCCCCAGTAATTGGTTCCGAGTAATGTTTTTAGGGGTCGTACATAGCGACACGATTTAGGACCCGATTTGTAGGACCTATTAGTCGCTTGAGACATATCAATTTGCGTTAAGTGTGTGTGTTTTTTAATGGATGATAATGGTATTGTTCTTCCACCTGTAACTATAATTAATGTCATGTTACAAACAATAACTTACAAATCTTCTTGCATTTTGGTGGCCGCAGTAGTCTAGCGGTTAGGACACCGCTTTGATTCCGAATGTCGCGGGTTCGATTACCCGCACAGCACAGACTATATCCATCTGGGTATTTTCTTTGTATATTTAATATGTATTTGCAAAAAATAATATATGTATTTATTTGTATCAGTTGTCTAGTATCACAAGATCTGCTTAACGTGAGACTAGATGGCGCTGTTAATTGTCCTTAGTTATTTATTTATTTTTATGAAAATATGCACCATATTCTGGTAAATATACTTCTAATATATTAAAAAAAAAAAAATTACTAAAATAACGAGTGAATAAATTATAATTCAATAATTCGTATAATTTATTTTCTAAATATTTAAACCTATTTATTAGTATTCATTTTAACTATATAATAAAATATTAAGTCTTCTTCTTTTTCGGAAGGAAAAATGCCAGAATCACTACGCCTGAAAAAAAAATAAAAACTGATTAGACTATATCCTTTCGACAAAATTGCAATATCATATGCTGGGTAACTCTATTCTCCTAAATTTTAATTTAAAAATAATCTGTATTATTGAAGACATGTACATTTGAAAAGAACAAGAGCTGAGTTTGTTGTCAGTTCATTTCAGTACATAAGATGTCTATTATAGACTCTCATGAATATTATTATAAAGTATATTTTCTATTAAATCTCCTTTTGTTAAAAAATAGGTACCTACTAATTCCGTAGCAGGTCGTAATCTAACATGAAACTTTTATAACACCCCTATAAAGTACTAATTACACGTGCAACCTTCCCAACCGTTACATTCACCTCGTTTGTACAAATATACACACGGGCCTAGAAACTTATTATACAGAATAATAGGGTTATATCTAGAGGCCCATAACAGTAGCACTAAAAGTGAACTGCTTTGAGATAAAAATAACTCAGTACCTACGCCCTTTAACTCCATATTACTTGATGTTATCCATATAAAGTGATAACTATTCAGGATTCCCTTTGGACGATATTATGAATAGTAACTAGAGATATATTATTATGTACTATAATTAAAGAGGATAGAGCAATTTTAATATTATGAGTATGTATGGATGGAAACTTCTGAACAGATTTTGATGAAACTTTACAGTAATATAGCTTTACATCAAAATACCACATAGGCTACAAATATTAAACCGCGGGCGCAGCCAACATAACATAATCAAGAAAAACTATATTCATATGACATCATGGTACATGGTACCAATAGGAGTGGAGCTGCAATAAATAGGATTGCAAAAACGGGATCAATGTGACGCTAACAAAGTTGCGCCCATCAGCTAGTAATTTATATATATCTAACATATCTACAATTTTCATTAATATATATTTTTTTTATAGCATCGGAGATAAACGAGCCTAAATAATAACGAACAGCACCTGATGGTAAGTGAGTACCGCCGCGCCGTCCATGAGCACTCACAACACCAGTGAAATAGTTTAGTGAAATAGCTCTTTTGTATAAAGTTTCAATATCGTATCGGTTTATTTGTTGATGGAAATGGTAAGATTTATTTTATTTTCGGTTTAATACCAGTATCGCTTTATGTTTAACTAGCTACTCGGCCCGGCTTCTTCCGGGTGTACATGTATTCTATACATAAACCTTCCTCTAGAATCACTGTATCTATTAAAAAAGACCAATTTAAAATCTGTTGCATAGTTTTAAAGTTTAAAGCATACATACGGACAGACAGCGACAGCAACTTTATTTTATAGTATGTAATAGTTATTATTGTATAAAATGTTTACGTACTTATCATACATCCAAATAGGGTATAGAATGGTATTTCACAGCTCATACTTAACAGTATCGGGAATGTTACATTACCGACTAGGGTGCCAATTCGACCCACCATCATCATCATGGATATGGCTAAAGTTCTGAAATAGAAATTGTATATAAGCATATCATCATATTAATATAACTTCATTAGTTTTGTCACATAAGAGGCAGTCAGTCGACGAGAACGAAACATTTGATATGTCTATATTTCTCTATATATATGTGTTCCCATCACTACAGAGTTAGTCAGAAATATTAATCACACAAAGATTTTTGGTTTTTAACCTTATGACATTATTGTCTTTCTTTCTATAGTAAAACTCTAGTCTAAAATAAAATACTAGTATAAATACCAATATCGATATACACGATGCGATATAGGAAGCGATTCAGGGTACACCCCACTACTGCTCCTATATCCAGATTGTGTAGGCTGTTTTGGATACTATGATGATATGATGCTATGACAGCATTACAGTTTCATGATTATGACACTGGGTATATATTTTTCGAACGCTTAAGTTAAAGAAACACTACTAGGTTCTTATTGAGGTTGGATGCTCAGCCAGGTAAGGTAGCACACATGAAACTGCATCATTTTCTCCAATAAATAAAGTACAATTTCGTAATTCTGAAAATGAATTATGAATATTTCCACTAAATTGATAATGTGACCGTGCAGTTTCTAGAAAATTATTTTCTTTATTTTTCTACTTGGGAAAAGTTGATGAAACTGATTCATAAAAACACCCACTGACTATCTAGTTTTTTCTGTCTTTTTAGGACTTGATTACCTTTGTCCACTAACCATGTATAGTCTCTTTCCAATCGATTCCCTGGCCAATTCAAACGGTGATGGAATTTACAATGGCCTGAGCCGAAGTTCGAACTCCTAGCGATACCCTCAGAAGACGTATGCTTCAGGCAGGAGTTGGCCTTCAGCCATTCCATAAGTCCTTCCGAGGGTTAGCATTTGCACTCGTTGTATGAAGTTGTAAAGGCCAGGTGTGGCCAACAGCATTAGAATAGTTCTAAAAGGCATATACAGAAATAATAATCAAATTACCTAGTCGTAGTAGGAAAGCTTTCAACAATAATTGCTTGGTTCAACGCCATGACAGCTTGTGAAACCGATGTATCCAATGCAAATAGTACGACCACAGCAACTTTTGAGTTGGCAAATCTTATACCCAAAGTTGAAAAGCAACATATGACACCAGCTGTTATTATTAGAACTTTTTTACCAACTTTGTTTACTAAAATACTGCTTACTATCAAAGATAATAAACAAAAGCAGCCTATAATTAAGCTGTTAGTATATGTTTCATCTCCGCTTTTGTTCTGAAACAATTATATTAAATTGTTAAATATCATGCAATTACAGATATTTCAAGTACCAAAAATTCTGAGTGTTATAAACTAGACATTAAAAATTATAAATAGAATTGATAATATTCTCTATAATAATATCTTAAATGAATTCACACACCGCCATCTAGTACTAGGCTAAGCAGAGAGAGATTATAAATACACAGATATATTTTTTGGTAAAAAATACACACACACTCATAAAAAATACCTATATCATACATACATGGGATGTATGTGTATATCTATAACATATGTACATAATAAAATCTAAGTATATATATATCAGTTGTATATAATACAAGCTCTGCTTCCCTTGGCACTAGATGGCGCTGTGTGAATTATTCAGGGATATTATTATATTATAATTATGATATAGGTGAGACAGAGGTATCCACTTGGAATATTAAGTGTCTGTAATTAAACCTACATGTAGTCTTTATACACATTTTAATTTGATTATACAATATCTGAATTATATTTCTAAATTTTGTTTAAGTTATACAGTTTAGTTTTTAAGTTGTATAAACTGACTTACTGGTATACATTCCTCATTTGTAACGTTGTATGTTCTTAATTTCTCATCTTCGGCATACGCGTCCAACATGACGCACAGATCCTGGTTATTTGTACTGGCGTAATGTTCCACTACTGTCGATACTTGAGGAAACCATAATCGTATTACATTATACCTGGAAAATGTAACGTAATTATATGGTGTTAAAGTTGAATTTAGATCAGTGTGAATTTAACTTTCTTTAGTACATTTTTTTGTTTATATTTATATAAATATGTATATGTAAACTAAAAGTACTATAGTGTGCGAATGCATTTCCGTTGACTATACTAATGTGGTAAATACGAAAGTGTGTCTGTTTGTCTCATTCGACATATTGTCAGCGTCGAAATATCGGGGGCTTATTATTACATTATGTTATTAATATTATAAACGCGAAAGTTTGTGAGTGTGAATGGACGTTCATTACTCTATCACGCAAAAACTAAAACCGCAGGTACAGCTAGTATTATATATATATTCATCTTTATTACAATATGTTATATATATTATACAATATTATTAGATGTGTGCAATAGTATTAACTGTAATACTCACAATGACATAGTAATACAGTTCATAGTGCATATCATAGATAAGAATATCACTAATGGTCTCCGGAACATGGGTTTTATATTATGTAGACCCTTCACGATTTGATTAGAAAGAGTGGCCTTCACTTCTAAATTTTCATTTGTCCCATTCGTAATTTTCTTCGTTTCCTTCCATATATCCTTGAACTGTTAATAAATATTTATTTTTATATTAATACTATAATAACCTTCGACAATTCGAACTTCGCCATCTAGTCTAAAGCCAAGAGGAGCTTGTGTTGTGGTTAGGTTGAAAGCTTAGACCGAGATATGGCTCCGTCAACTGTTGCATTTAATACAACGTCTATAGTATCAATGTGCCTAACATTGATTTTAGAAGAAAAAGTGTAATCCATCACATTTAAAATAAGTAATCATGTTGCTAAGTAACAGTTTATATGTAACGTGATCGGAACGAGAATAAATTATATTTACTGCTGTATATATATAACAGACGCATAGGCATATATATATAATGGCCTATCGTCTATTACAGACGCATAGGCCATTATACATATATATGAATATATGTATATAATTGCCTATGCATCTGTAATAGACGATCTATGGCGTGATGGTCCCTGAACAGCTCTTTTCGTGGCTGTATAAACCAACACCAGAGCAGCATGGTCTACCACAGGCTCGACAGGAGAAATTATTAGCAGAAGTCGGTACTGAGCCGCCTAGACGGCGCTTCCGTCTCTTGTCAGTACGTCTTTGAAGCCAGTCATCGTAAACTTTTGTTTGATGGATATATTCAGTGGATATATATATATATATATATATAGTAATAATGTCACTACCCCATTAATGATAGCAAACGTGAAGATATTATAAATTTTCTTAAACTTACAGGATACGTTTCAGCGGACTTTCCAGTATTTATTTTGTATATTCTGATTAAAATCTCCCTTGCTTCTGAATATTTCTTTTGTATGACCAAGTACTTCGGACTTTCCGGTAAAAGTAGATAGAGCAAGAATGCCGATAGTGACCATAGTGACATTATGAATAGATAGAAATTCCACGTGTTCAAAACTGGAATAAAAAAGGAAATTCTGAAATTTTTGAGTGTTTATCTAAATATATAAAACTCAAACTTGGTGACTGACGTAGTGATCTATCAACGCACAGCCCAAACCACTAGACGGATCAGGTTGAAATTTGGCATGCAGGTAGATGTTATGACGTAGGCATCCGTCAAGAAAGAATTTTGATTAATTCAACCTCCAAAGGGATAAAATAGGGGATGAAAGTTTATATGAAACTTTCTCAATTTTAAACCGATCGCGCTGAGACTTTACATACATAAAGCTATTATGACGTAAGCATCCACTAAGAAAGGAATTTGATAAATTCCACCCCTAAGGGGATAAATTAACGCGAGCGAAGCCGCGGGCAAACTCTAGTAAGATTGTAAGACCATTAATTTTCAATTTAATTGACGCTATTTATAACATCTTAACAACATACTTACCAATAGACCCATTAAATAAGCTATATCTCCACTCCTGTTTCAATATAGCCCAAGATAGTCCAGCTATTAAGATTTGAGCAACACCAATGAACGAAGACTGCACCATTAAAATACGATCTCTGATACCGTTGTAGCAGAATTCTGCTGTGTAAGTCACACACGCACTGAATGAGGCTGCAAAACTGAAAATAAAAAAATAGTTATAGAATAGAATTTTATTTACTCTATTAATATATACAATAATATAACTATACGTACAAAGATAAACTTTGTATAAAGTTTGTACCTCTGTCTCACCTCGCCGTCAACTTACTTGGTAAGGTGCGTTTTAAGGAATATGGTAGAGATATTGCAGAGTACGCAGACGTAACAGGTGAATCCCCAAGAATAGTAACTAATGAGTGGCATTATGGATATCACAATTCATTTTGTGATGTTCATTCATCGTTTCATTCATCTGTGAGGCGACGGTTGCCACTTTTCATACGGTGTTTCGTCAGAACCGTCAGCTTGTTTGCCATTTCAATTATACTCAAAATAATTTTATAAAACAATCAACACGACAATAAATACAATATTTTAAATAAAGTATCCTTTCAACCATAATCTTAGAGATAATTAAAAATACGCTTAACTACAGAATTTATAAAAAATCTTTAAACATGTAAAAAGGAAATTTATAAAAGCTGTATTTGCCAAGCGGCACAATAGATTAACTGAACTGATTTCATGCTCATTCTATTAAACTCCAATGGTGCCCCGCTAGTGTATACCATTAGCGCAGGCAGATATACAATTGTATGTACTCGTATATACGAGTATAATGCTTATATTAAAACAAAACTTTTTTCTTCAAAAAAATATCGTTTGAATCATTCTACCTCATCAGATAAACTCAAAGATGATTTGGTAAAAGTAACAATTGTTGAGGAGAGTACGAAGAAGTCTACCAACTGACATTTTGTGGATGGAGTCATGTGAAAGTTACGAAAGTAATCAGAAACGTGTAGGCGTACATTAATCAATGTACTCGGTACGTGTTGGGATGAAACATTCTGTAATGTAGCTCGACGTTGCTTTGCGTATGAATGTAATCTCATACATATTTTATGTGAGATGTCTTATAAATGAGCCTTGTGTTTAGATCTGTGGTTTCAATTAGGTAGAGAGATCTATGGTATTGTACGAGTTATATTATATTCCGTAATTTCTCTTGTATGTTTCGGATGTAAGTTTTAAGAACCGGTTGTAGGTCTGAATCCGGTTATTAAAACACGTGCTAAAAATACTTTTTGCTATTTCGTTATATCCTAAAGGAAGGAAAGGAAGACTAAGCCTTGGTGACTGATTAATTTTGTTAAGAAAGTGTAATTAGTGTAGTTGTGAATTCAAATTATTTTGACTTTTAAAATCTTGCACTATTTGGTAGTTTATATTCATATAATACCCTAAATTAGTTGCATTTTCATCAGGATTAATTGAGACCCTTGTATCTTTACCTACATTTTCTCAATTATCTACATTGTGAATGTAAGGAAATAACGATACAATAAAACTTCAATCTAAGTTAATTTGAATATAGAAGTAGTTTATTTGTACATATGTATTATATATTTCTACAGCGTTTGAAATTATTTATTTATACTCGTACCTAACAAAAATAATTAGACAGCTGCACTTTTGGTAGGAGCTAATTTATCTACTCTAATAGTCTCTGATCTACACACACAAGTAACTAATGTAAGCTTAAGGCTGCTGATATACAGTCGGTTAGTTATCTCTACTCAAAACGGAGCATAGCTAACAAATGCGCCCATTGGAGTCCATCAAACCTTTCTCGTATTTGTGTAACCTAACAATAGATCGAGTGTATATCTGCAGCAGTCTAATTGTGGAAAAGGAATATAAATTATACTCACATCAGGTCATCGTCCAACCTAACAATGTACCAACTGTATATTTATTTATTTAAATAACTTTAATGCACATCATTTCAAAGTACCTATATATGGCGGATTTAACACCATGCGTCATTATTTTGCAGTGAACCATGAGTGGTGCAGACAATAATTGTTGGCGGTGCAAATATACATAAATGATATATTGGAAAATACATGTACAAATACACATATGAATAAATAGCTACGTAGCTATTTATTCATATATATTTATATGATTATCATATAGATAGAATAGAATAGAATAGAATATCATTTATTCAAATAAACTTAGTTTAAGCACTTTTGAATAGTCAACATTTTTTTAAATCTACCGCTTATTCGGGAAGCTGTCTCATCACAAGAAAAATAAGCAAGAAACTTGTGTGTTGCTCTTTTAAACAATCCTTGTAAGTTCACATTCTACAAGTCGAAACGTGTGAATACAAACTACCAACCAGCACTAATTTGTTTAGGCTCAAATATAAAAACACAATAAGATTAAACCAGTCGTAGTGATAAGAGCAGACCAGTCCCTAGCAAGCAGCACTAGTTCACGAGTATGACGGATGAACCAGCCATCACTGCGCTCGACCATATTTTAGGGAGCCCAATGACCCGGCCCACCACTCCGCCACATGTCTGGACATTTTAGTGAGCATGACTACTCATTCCACTCAACCACGTCACAGCTACAAAAATTACTATATGGTAGTTACAGTATTCGCACTTTACATAAGGATGCATGCGGCAATCAATACAAAAGCCGCTACGCTATCATATATCAAGAAAGCAGTATGAAAAAAAAATTATAACGTTGTCCGCAAATAAACTTAAACTTGCTATATATTTCTATCATCTATAAATTCATCTATCCTATAATAAGCTTTTTTGCATAACATTTGTTTAATATAAAGTTTGAATTGCCTCTCTGTCAGATTTAGCGTAGATTCTGGCAGTTTATTATAGAATCTTACGCAATTACCGTAAAATGAATTACTAACTTTGTGTAGACGGCATTTAGGTAAAATTAACTATGATCTATATGATATGTATCTAGATAGTTATATCAACAACCTAAGTATGGAAAATAGAATCAAAATGGACATATACTCACAGCATTCCTTCAAAGAATTTCGCAGTAACAAGCAACTCGTAACTTTGACTTGAACCTCCTATGACGGTGAATATGAAGATACCTCCATAACCGATGTGTATAAATATCTTCCTGCCGAATGTGTCTGTTAGAAAGCCAGCTACAAGCGATGAGAATAACATGCCTGAAAGTGAACAAGATTATTTATTTTTATATGACGACCTCGGTGGTCTAGCGGTCTAGCACACCGCTTTATGTCCGATGGTCGCGGGTTCGATTCCTCGCACGGCACAAACATTTGTATTCATGAGTATGATTGTTTGTATCGGTCTGGGTATTTTCTATGTATAATATGTATGTATTTACGAAAAAAAAATTATCTATGTATTTATATCAGTTGTCTAGTACCCATAACACAAGCTTTAGCTAGCTTATCTTGGGTCTAGATGGCGCTGTGTGAATTGTCCTGAGATCCTGAGATTATTATTATTATTATTATATCATCAAAATATTTGCAGTTAAATACTCGTTTGATCGCTTTTGATTAAGTATATATATATAAGTAGTTATTTGTGTTAATATTTAATTAATAATAGAACTCAGACCAAACTGTCAAATTTAACATACAATTTTGTAGTTTCAAGTAACACTTCAGTTGAATCGACATGTCGTAATAAAGTTGTATATCTAAATGACGACTACTATGGACATATAAGAAAGAAAGAAAGAAAGAAAAAATATTTTATTCAGTAGTATTATAAAGGTATATAGCACATACAAATCATATAAGTTTTATATATGATATATTTCATACAGAATAAATTCAGATTAAAAAATCATTTATTCATGTAGGACATTTTAGCCGCTTATGAATACCTAGGGGTATTCATAAGTCCGTAATATGAAAGAAGTTTGTTTGATATTTAGAATAATAACAATATTTAATGAGTACAATAATTAAAACACATCAGTACGATTATCCAATATACCTAGTTCAGGACAGAATTATTATATTTATTCATATTATTATCCTAATCGGTTGGAATTTGATTACCATTAGACAAGCTCGTAACGGCAGTCAAGTTTCCGCACTGAATGTTTGTGGTCTTACACATGCTAATTGTAGCTGAATTAAACAAAATAATATAAATGCAATAAGTAGTAAAATTAGTAAGTCTATATATTAAATATTGTTTAAATAAGTTGAAAATATAAGAAGACTTGCTGACTCCGCAAACGTTGTTTAGCTATATAAATTAAAATAGCTATTAAAAAATTGAGGTTCATGCTAGAATGGTGGAAAATTAGGGTTGTGTGTATTATTCAATCCTAAATAATAATAAAATGAAAATAAAATATTATGTCGAAAAATAAAAAATATATATTTAGGGGTGGATATTCCTTACCACTTAGGGGTATGAAAAATAGATATTAGCCGATTCTCAGACCTACTGAATATGCATATAAAATTTCATAAAAATCGATCAAGCCGTTTGGGAGGAGTATGGTAACTAACATTGTAACACTAGAATTTTATGTATAAGATATTCAATGCTTTGTTTACAATACACATACCAATAAAATTTATGAATAACAAAAATACTCTTCAAATTCCATGCAAATCTCGTACCTATAATAACATACCTATATACAATAAATATGGTTTAATTAAAAACCAACTGTATTCCGAAAAGAAGAATAAAATAAAAATATAAATACAATGTGATTGTAGTCAAACATGCTCAAACTTCGTAATAAGAAAAAAATGTACATGTACGGCAGAAAAAATTAAATTAAATAATAATACTAATAACGTAATATATAAGTAAGCAATCTTAAGAGAGACAACCATTTTAGTACATACGAGTATATAATGATATATTATCAGCATCTAAAAAATACTTAGTTATATTAAGATATACTCAAATATAGTAATGTAGTGAATAGAGAAAATAGACTGAGTAGACAGAATATCGGCAAATATGTGTAAAAACAAAACATTCCGTTTATATTAGGTACTACTGCGTGAACGAGAATAGGAAATGTGACATTTCATTTGTCATTCCCAGTATTAATATAAACCTAAATTTCAAAATGTATGTATGTCAATGTATCCATTTTTAGGCTCTCATGTTCATATATGTATGTACATTCATTTATAAACTTTTGCAACGCAACGAATTTGTATTAATAAACATTACAAAGCATTTTTGTTATCGTAGACATGTTTCAAGCTGTTACCATATTGATAATGTCTAACTATTGTCATTAGTGTTACTAGAATTTTAAATTATTTAATTAATATAATTTCCTTAAATATTTTAATTCAGAGAATATTAATACCAAAGAAATGTTGTTTTCGCATATAAATATTTTAATTTATTTTTTAATATTTATATTATAACCTAATTATCCACGACCTATTTTTAGAACTACTATATTTAAATAAATATTTGCGGTTTAATTGATGTCACATGGAAATGACACAATATTACTATTATTACTCAGATTTCCTGTATAAAGTAGTATCTACATGAAAAATATTATATAAATTTATTTGTAAGTTTAGTTAAGAAAGCGTAAAATTTACATTAAATAATTTTATATCGGTATAAGTATTTTCTTCAATAATTTCATAATTCATAATTTCTAGCAATTTTGTTTGCATAAAATATTGTAATTTGTAATCTAAAAGATATAAACAAACGCTAGGTTTTGATAGACATTTTGAGATTCAAATAAATTTAGCGGGATTAAATATTAGATATTTGATTAAAGAAACTCTCTAATCCAGAATCAATATTTATTTCTGTAGACTATAAATGAACAGTACAAAAGTAATAACTGAACAATTGTATAACAAATTTCCTTTTAACATTTGTTTAAGTTATATTGTATAAACATGTCTACGAAGTTTAGACTTTGTAATACTTATTAAACTTCTAATAATAATAATTGATTGATCATGTTGAATGTCTTCAATACTGTAGTTTTAATTAAACTCAACTTAATTACAGAATATTGTTTACACTAACTGCCGCGACTTTAATTTCATTATTATAGTATAGATAAGATCATATTACATAATTATAGGCACATCGGTAAGGAGAGTGGAAGAAATAATTGGGGCTTCACATTTACGCTGTTCTTTTTAATTTCGTTGTTCTTTTGTTCACACGAACAAAATACACACAATGAAAGTGAAAGACAACGAAAATTAGTGTTTGGGAATGAATTAGAATGAGAAAGTGATGTATCATTCTAAGCAATCATCAAACACTAACTAAAAGATGCAAAATGCAATACCCACTAAAGTTATAAATGTGAAAGATTTGATAATTTCGAATGAGCGATAATATTCTATACACGAATTTTCTAAATCCGGTGTTATACGAGACTTTGTAGACTTTGAAATACAACCTATGACCGGCGTCATGATAAAATATACCTTCAAGTTTTGATTAAGATCTGTACAGTAATAAAAAGTGAGAAACCGACAGACATACAAATTTTCACATCTTAATAATATTATAAACACGAAACATTGTCAGTATGGATATTTGGTACTCTTTCACACTAAAACTACTAAACGGATTTTGATGAAACTTTACAGTGATATTGCTTATACATCAGAACAACTAAATTAATAGGCTATATTTTATATTAAAATTCAATGCAGGTGAAACCGCAGGCACAATTAGTTTATAATATTAGCATGCATTAACATAAGGCAGTTACCCTTACACGAATTCATACAAGTAGTGACACGGAATATAGGTAGCTAGTGACTAAACTAAACACATACCTGAGTATGGTGCGGCATTTAAAAATCCTTTCTGCAACAGACTCATATTTAAATCACATTCTGCGCTCGGTAATAAATATGATGTGGTGTTACTGACAGCGACCCCTGCTACGAACCCCGTCAGGGTCGTCAGCAACAGCTGGATGTGATATCTCCCAAATTCACATGCTCTGAGAGCATTGTCAATCTGTTTTATAGGAGTTTCTTCTTTCTTATCCACGTGGTCCTCATCTGTGAAATAATTTACTATTTCTTTATATTTTTAACTAGCTGTACCCGCGACTTCGTCAGCGTGGAATTTAACTTAATTTTTCTAAAATAAATGTAGCCTAAGTTACTTGTAATAAGTAGTTTCTTACATCTGACACCTGCCAATAAAAATTCCGTCAAAATCCATCCATTTCAGAGATTAGCCGGAATAAACAGACTGACAGACGAAAATTGAAAAAAAAAAAATATTTTTATGTATATATCGTATTTATATTCATATGCATATAGTAAGAAACGGTTATTTCAATATTACAAACAGACACTCCAATTTTATTTATATGTATAGATAATAATTATTTGTATGTAAAATCATTTAATCAGAGATAATAAGCAGTCATAAAAATAATATAAGGATAAACCATGTTTTAAATGATAAACCATTACCATTTAATTCTAAACTGAGTAGAGTTTGTCTTAAGGGTGATAAACTGGTATAAATACTTCTTTTTTGTATTAAACTACATTCATAATATATAGAATACAAAACACCCAGAACAATACAAACAATTTTACTCCTAAATGTTAAACATGTTCACATCTGGTTAGGAATGGGCACCAGCAATCAGAAGTCAGACGGTGAACTAAACCGCAAGACTACAGACCGTTCGGATGACTATATATATCTAGTACAGCTACCAGCTCTAAGATTTCAACACTAAATACTAATTATTCAATTTAAGCTATTTATGGCACATTCTTATACATTATTACCTCTTTGCTCAGGCAAATAATTACGCAACCTCATTCTCATCATTACAGTGAAAAGCCCTTTTAACGTCTTATGTAATTAATAAATTGGTTTATAACATTAATGAAAAGATATTATATTAAACAATATAACATGCCGTTACAACTTTTATCCACAATGGGTTAGTTAGAGCATTGTCAATTTTCGACGACTGGGTGAATACAACACTTGTTTTGTTCAAATTCAAATTCCAAATATCTTATTATATCTTTATTATATTAATATCGTTATTGATGGCCTTCCGGTGGCTCGCGGGTTCGATTCCTCGCACGGCACAAACATCTATATTCATGAGTATGATTATTTGTATCGGTCTGGATATTTTCTATCTGTATTATTTACGAAAAAAATGTATCTATGTATCTGTATCAGTTATCTAGTATCCATAACATAAGCTTTAGTTATCTTAACTTGGGTCTAGATGGCGCTGTGTGAATTTTCCTGAGATTATTATTATTATTTATTCATGTAAATCTATTACAGACTTTTATGATATGTTAGATTTACCGCCAGTTCGGAATGATTTCGAGATGAGAAGAACTAACAAGAAACTCAGCTCATATTCTTTTCTTCTGTTCATATTTGAATTCAATGATCAGATCATTGTGTACCATGCCAGGAATCGAACTCACCACCATCGGAAGTAAAGCGGTTGTTTTTTTTTTTGTTTTGACCTTTTGTGTGTAATTTGAAGTAGTAAGACGCCACGATGTTCTCTCAATATAATATAACTTTGATTAAATTTCGACATTCGTTAGATTTGGCAAAAACATCACATTACTGTTACATAAATTAGATTATCATGATCAAAATTGCTCAGACATTAATCTTATAGAGACATTAATCAACTCGGTCCCCGTCTCTTGAGTTAGAATATTAGCTCTATGAATACTCCATTGCTTTCAGTTCAACGGGTACAAGTAGATATAAAAATGTCTTGCACATAATATAATAATTAACCTGAACAATTCACATACAGGTATTATTATTCACATAAATGAAGTAAAAGGAAGAAGCAGATAATGATGATGAAGATAATGGTGGTGGTGGTGATGATGATAATGATAGTAGTGGTGATGAGGATGATAACAATTCACATAAGTGTAACTAACTGTTCTTCATTTCACACTTGTGATCTGTTTCCGCTGGTTTATCAATTTTACTCTTACATTTTTAGTATTTTATGTTTCTATATGTACCCACCAATATCAATTAGTCAGTAAGATTCATGTTATACGTATATTTATATTTGCCTTATTTCTGACAAACAAGTATTTTATATAATTAGTCTACCCAAAGGTAGTCTGGAAGAGATTGCTTAGCAATAAAACCTTTTATATCAGTTATTGTGAATGTATTATTTTAATAATATTGATTTATATAAATAAGTAAAATATTTATTTGTATTTCATGTTAAATACTCCGAACAAAGCCGGTTAATTATTTAAATAATGTGTTTAATGTTTATTTTTATTATTACTGTATTATTTTCTTTACCATTAATACATATTATATTTTTAAAAATATAAAGCGTGTAGGTTTATGTTTGCATTGAATAAATCTATTTATAGACAAACAGCTGTCAGCTTGACAGTGATATTGCGCCTAAATTGACAACACGCTCGCTGCCTAAATCAATTTTACAAAAACATTCAATATAGGAGAAGACTCACAAAGAGCGATAATGGAAAAGAAACTCACAACTTGGAATCTAAATGAACAATTATACCGTCAATATTATCAGACAGTGAGGCGAGTTGTAGAGACGTTAATTAAACCAGACAGTTTGAAACAGGACTTGTTATTTGCATTATTACTTGTAATAATGAAAGACAACGATTTTCTGCAACTGGAGGAAATTGGAAGAAATGTTATTAGTACAGAAGACTTTTTGCTGTCCAGAAAACAAAAAGACATCGGAATGTATGAGTCTGTGTTAGTATTGAATGGATTCCAGAATACTCCATTGAAAATAATCGCGAGTCCGTTGAACGATGCCATTTTAATCAACGCCACAATTCCGGAGTTGTATAAAGAAACTTATTCTATTTGTTTGAAAGTTAGCAACTACGTACTCACTTCTGATTTGGGGATACCAGCCAATTTTTATAACTTGAACGAATTGGTTGTTACTTTGAAAGATAAGATATTGAATCCAATCAAAAGTGGTATACTAAACTATCACAGTTATCCAAGTGCTAACCTTTCGGGTCTGCCTGAAGATATTGTGGACCAGATAGCTATGAAATTGCACATTAAAGATGTGATTGCACTTTCGAATTCTTGTAAACGCATGCATATGGTAATAAACAATGAACGACTATGGTCTGATCTATTCAAGAGGGATTTCCGTGATAAACATGAAATTGGAGGCAGTGACTATATGAATAAATATAAAGAGGAATATATTTCGAGAAGGGATGCTAAATTCCAGCTCTTAAGTAATATCGGATCTGAGAGTTTTCGACAATTTGCAGAATTGCCAGATTATATGAGACATGGTTCAGATTCAAGATGGGAAGTTATTTTGTGAATGCGTAAATTTGAAAATTTATTTATTGTTTCTCTTTAACCGTTGAAAATAGCTTTGAAACAATCTTTTGGTAAATTATTTTGAATCATTATAGATATATTTATTATTTTTAACATTCTACCATACATAAAGATTATTAATTTATATACCTAACTCGTAAAAGTATCATATTATTATTTTATAATTTATTTAAATGTACTAACCTCAGGACAATTCATACAAAGCCATCCAGTCCCAAGTTAAGCTAACTAAAGCCTGTATTATGGGTACTAGATAACTGATCCAAATACATATATATATTTTTTTTTCCTAAATACATTATATATGTATATATAATACACAGACCCATCTAAACAATCATACTCACGCGTACAAATGTTTGTGCAGTACGATGAATCGAACCCGCGACCAGCTTAAGTAAAGCAGTGTGGTAAACCGCTAGACCACCGAGGCCTTTCTCACCTAATTGATTTGAAGATAACTTATTATTAACAACAGTTCTACAATTCTAAGTTTGTATTATAACAGTAAAATTGAGTTCATTTGTATGACAGGTAAATAACTATGTAATGATAACAATATGAACATATCACGTAGTAGATCAAATTTAAAGTATTATTACGAGAATGCCATATCAATCTTCTGATAATCGGCAAAGGTGTATAAATCTGGATTTATTTATACACCTTATTCATAGACGTATACCCATTAGCACTATTAATATGATAATTGATAATTAATGCACGTTGCAGTCATTATTATATTGACGTTATTTCTCTATAATTAAAAATATATATTTCAAGTTTCTTTTATAGGACAAATTGACCCACCTGATGGTAAACGATAGCCGACTTTTTTTGCCAAGTAGCTGACTCCTGGCTGGCTACTTTTATTTTAGGAAAATAAAGTTAAATTCCACTCTGACGAAGTCGCGGGTACGCTACTAGCTGAAGTTAATGTTCGCGGCTTGATTGTCGGCGGTATCGCCATCAATCAAGCCGGGAACATTTAACTACAAGAATCGCCGGGTGACTCACTAGTATTAGATAACGATTACAGTAACTCGTCTCATCATTACATAGTATAAAATAAAGTTGCTGTCGCTGTCTGTCCGTCCCTATGTATACTTAAATATTTAAAACTACGCAACGGATTTTGAAGCGATTGTTTTTAAAGAGTGACTCTGTATATATATATATATATTACATGTGCACCTATACGAGGCCGGGGCGAGTAGCTAGTTCGCTCATAAAAAAAGTTTTGCTTTCAATTTAATATCGACGACATTTTTTAAGGTTCTAACGACAAACAGATCGTTCAACCGGCTCGAATTATAAAGTCCAACAAAAATTGTTACACCAGAAAATTTCTTCACTAAAATGAGCTAACTCTGTTATCTAATAGATGATATTGCGTTATATTATATACGTCATTAGTATTCATTATATACACAGTAGCTCAGCACTAGATAAAGATAGGTAAATATAATTAAAGGCGGAAATTTAAAATTATATTTACAGCCGGCCGTGGTGATGTAGCGGTTTAACACTTACTTACTTTTCGCGGGTTCGATTCCTGTGAAATGCATACGTTTTTATTAATAAGTATGGCTGTTCGTGGTCATCTGAATGTTGTTATTTATGTATTTATTGAGAAAAAAATATATATGTAAATACAATTGTGTGATATATCCTGAGCAATTTATATTTCTTATTATTAATGCGAGTTAACATAGTTAGCTAAATTTTCTTGTAAAAGAGCTGTATGTTTGTTTGTAAGAAGTTCAGTTATAAACATTTGAGTGCGAAAATTATGGTAGTGCTAAAATCGGAATGATCAGGTTTATATACTTCCATTAAAGGAAAGTTAACCTTTCCTGTATTTATGGTTAAGGCATAAATAAAGTAACGAAAGGGATTTCTATTACTCTTGTTATAGTCATATGTTTTTTTATGTTAGTGAAACGGTAAAGAACATGGCGGTAGGAAAAACTTATAACAAAAAATTTTACGTTTATAAGTGGTTGAAATGTCCTACATGAAGAAATAATTTTTTAATTTGAATTTGATTTGCTCACGACTTCACGACTGCTTCACGACCCTGGGTATCAATACTGATTAATACATTCAAAAGTCCAAATATCGGGCTACTACCTAATATTGAGTAAAAACTACATATGATGACTAGGGCCCTCACAGGACACTGCAAATTAAACAAGCATATGGCAAAATAAGGCCTATGCGCGACAAAAATCTGCAGATTCAGCCAAACTGAAGAGAAAAAGCCACTACACATCCTATGTGGTTGTAGCCCACTCATGCATAAACGAAATATCTCCTTTGGAAAGTTTACACTCTTTCCCGAGGAGATAAAAACCATCGCTCCTAAGAATATCCTTCAATTCTTGTCCCTGACGGGTCTAGGTAGCGAACTCTGAAAATGGGCAAGCACAGAAGATCTATGTAGGTCGCAGTGTTACAAGTGCTATAAACACCTGACAATAGCCCAAACAACCTTATGAATCCTAAAAATCTATACTAAGTAAGTAAAAATCTATATTCTTCTAAGCCACAACGCTGTTAAATTTATACACATATACTATACTATACTGTATATATACTACTATATATATACTATAATATACTTTTATCCTAGATGAGGTAGTTAGCGGCAGTATGGACTATCGACGTGGTGAACGCACTTGACATATCTATTTATTATTTGCAAGGTATACATATATCAATCCAACTTAGGGAGCAATCCTACTGCCTTTGATATTAGTTTGGTTAATTATAGTTGTTACCATCATCCATAGTCAGAAATATAAATTGACACAAATGTTTTTTTTTTCTATCAGATTTGTACTGACAACCTTTTTGGCGGAAGTCAAAGCAATAACCACTAGACCAACGATCTGTTGACTGTCGTTATTACAGTAATGTGTGTAATTTTCAGAAATGTATGCAAAAGTAGATTTTCGTGTTAATTAATTATTATTATTTGTCTTAATGAAGCGCTGATGAAGCGCGGTAAATGAGAGAGTTGTCTATTGGTTTACTGTCTCTACATAGACTGAAAGGTCATGAGTTCAAATCAGGGTAACACCAAAAAAAATTGTTTATTGATTTATATTTCTAACTTACTTTCAGTTGATGGTAAACACCGATAACAAATTAAACTAATCGAAAATCGTATTTGAATACACAGTGGTAGAAGGAACCCACTTGTTCCTTCCACCACTGTGTATTCAAATATACCGAGGGAAACATGGGCATATAATTGATTATGACTCTGACTACCCTACTTGGGAGATTAGTCGTAAAGGTATGTTTTATTTATTAATAAATGAATAAGGCTTCATAAATCTTTACATAGTATAAAATGAAGTCGCGTCCGCTGTCTGTTCACTTAGATCTTTGAAACTACGCAACTAATTTAAATGCAGTTTTTAGCAAGAGATAGAGTGATACGAGGAAGGTTTATAGGTATAATACATGTATAAACAGAATATAATACGTGGGAAAGCAGACGGGTTAACTACTGTTATATATTTTGGATCCAAACTAGGATACAGCTAATGAGCCACAAATGGACAATGATAGACAATAATATAAAAACAAAAATATATAAGGTGTTTTTTTAATATAATTTTATATGGTTCACTGACTTACCATTTTCGGCCAGAGCCGATAAGTTTGCCTCACTCATTATAACTACTCAAAAACACAATATAATATTAAGTTATCAGAAACTAGTTCTTAAGCACTTCATCATTCCAATATATTTCATCAACTGACACATCTCACATACCACCTGTGTTATTGAAGGTCTTTTAATAAATTAACCACACTAATGAGACACATCATAGTATGCTATATTACCTGTACCATAATCATAATTGGAGATCATTATAAATTGGTTAAGGTATGTTGACTTGAGATAGTGGTGTGTTTATTTAGTTATATTTAGTTATATTATTTTGCTAACTTTTACTACTAGATAATTTTAATATTGCTCAATATTAATTCTTGCTTGCAAATTTGCATGTTTCTTACAAAACAATACAGCGTCATTTAGTCCCAAGTTACGCAGAGTTGTGTACAACTAATAGAACTATTTAAATACAAATATATTTTGTGACGACTATACTGGCATCCACTCCGATTTTTTTTTATACTATTTTATTTTATTTCCACACTTACAGCTATTTTTACAAGTCTTAGCCTAATACAATAGTGTAGCAAACATTATTTTTTTGAAACGTTTGTACTGGCTGTTCTCTTTTAGAAATATGTAATATAGTAAAACAATTTATAAAGGAATAAATATTTTAATTTTTAAATATTGAAGTGACGTATATATAATTTTATTTTATAGTTTTAGATTAGAGAATATAAAAAAAATATTAAATATATTTATATCAAAAGTGTTTCTCAATATGTCCACAGTATTCTTAATAGTCGAGGCTAGCATCACATTTCACAGGCATCAACTCTTTGCCTAAGCTATATTAAAGCTACATTATTCATGAAATAGCTTTAATTATTCTCAGAATAATAAATGATAATAATAAATATAATGTAGATAGATGTAGTAGTATAGTACATATTCATTAATTTATTATTTTTAATAACAATTACTATTTGAGACTTAAATTAAATTATATGATACTAATTTGATTGTAAATATATTTCAAGACTAAATAAATAGATTAATATATCATAATAAAATTAATTTTTAATTAACTACATCGTAAGTAATAACCTTTTTAGTCTAATGTCAATCACCAGATGACCTGATAGCCGTAGTTGTTGCCACTTACCATCAGGTTGTCCGTTTGCTTGTTTGTCAATCTGTGTATTTACATAAAGAAACCGTGATTTGTGACTTATGATACATGGGATCTATACAAATCTGATCTACAAAATGAAAGTAGATTTTTTTTATCACTGACTTTCTGATAATGGAAACACCATTAACAACCAAATGGTAGGCAAATGGAAGGGTACCTTCTGCTTTTGCTGTCTGTTAGTTTCAAATATGCACAACGAAATCTAAACATGTCATGTATTTATATCGTACACCGTACGAAAGCGCGAAGATAACAAATAATTGTAACATTATTTGATTATGATAATGATAGTAACTCTGGCTATACCATCTGGAATCACAGTCGTGAAGTTAGGATTATTATGACCAGTCCAAAACATATATCACAATGGATTTAAATTTTATTATCCCTATTCTTATAAACTTTTATACTCCCAACTCCGGACATTGGTTGTAAAATCAGGGAACGTGCGGCAGCCAATATTTGCTGGCAGTATCCAAGTTGCGATTGGGAGTTTTAAGTTTTGTGTAACTAGAAGTATGGTCGGTAGATTTACATTTAACTTTCTGCAGTTCATTGTAGACACGTGCCGAGTTCACGTGTCTAATATTTCAAATATGGACGCAAAGTGACTTTGTTGGGAAAGTTTATAAAGTAGTTCCGTCGAGTTCACCGGAAACTATTGAGTTTACAATGTTCTAAGTGTATAACTTAATACGCATACGTTGAATTGATATATGTATTATTTTTCAAAGTTGTTTTAAAATCGTAATAATATTATGTTTTGTCAGTTTGTTTGTTACAATATGTTATTAACAATTTATTTAAACGTTGTGTTTTATGCGGATAATTTCTCAAGAAAGATTAACAGTTTTTCTCGATTGAAACACAACAAAAAAAAGATTGAGTTACAGAATATGTTGTACATTTAAGAACATAGTACAGACTCCTTACATGCGGGCCGCTGGCTGACACGACAATTCGCATTTTTAAATATTTATATTTTTATACGAATATTGTCATTTTGTTGCTATGGTTTTGTTATTATTCCGTTATTGCTCTTGCCTTCTACTACCGTACTAGTTTTGTTACGACATATATTTTTATAATATATTATACATTCTTATTGCGCTTTTGACTACCACATTGTTGGCTGCACCGACCCCAGCGCCCTATACATAGTCCCACATAAACATATTCTGTAACTACTGTACTGTATATACATATGTACGTAGGCTAAAAAAGCTGAATCTACTAAATTTCCTCAAAGTTTCTCTCCCAGTCACGCGATGAACCCGGCACTTAACTAGTGGAGTACTCAAAAGTTCGTCTTAGCATTTTTTTTCTTGTATCCAACTACATAGTCTGACTGGTTACGTATGTGTAGACGAAGCAAAACGTCTATTTCAAAGGAATCTTTCTCTATATTCAGATAAGTTTCTTACTACACTATTTAGATAGATAAATAAAACCTTTAATTGCGTTAAAGGACATACACACATGGTATAGTAATAAAAAGAAAAATATGCAAAGTAAATCAGACAACCTCGGTGGTCTTGCGGTTTAACACACCGCTTCACTTCCAATGGTCGCAAGTTCGATTCCATGCACGGTACAAACATTTGTATTCATGAGCATGAATATTTGTATCGGTCTCAGTGTTTTCTACTTGTATTATGTACTATCTGACCCGCATAGTTTCGTCTGCATTATACATGACATTTATCATTATATTACCCCAATTTTTATAGCATCTTTTTATTCAAATGTGTAAGTTATATTATTGTAAAGTTTCATCAAAGTTCGTTCAGAAGTTTTTGTGTGAAAATGTAACAAACATCCATCTATCCATCATACTCACAAACTTTTAAATTATCTATGTATTTGTATTATATCATTAAATTATATATGTATGTGTATTATATCATTTCTATTATGTCTAGTACTCATAACACAAGCTATGCATACACACACACAGACACAAAGTGAATAGTCCAAGGATATTATTAATATTCCTCTCATGTCATAGCTTTTGAAGATGGTGATTAATACTGCATAGCCCGTCCTAGGATGGGCCACGCCAAGTCTCTTATTACCTTATTTTGCGTGTATTATTATTAATATATGATACATTTAACACAAATACATTTTACAACCTAGATTACAATGCTATCCGCCATGAATGATGGTTCCATAGAGTCATTACGTCCCGCCGACCCTTTCGTAATAAATTCCTGGATTTCTACCAAATCCCCACCAAGATGTACAATGTACAATAACTGTAACTAATATTTCATTTTACGTACATATTTGATTGGTTTTCACTGAAACATCTCAAAATTTAAAATATCTTTATCCATGTAGGTCTATTACAGGTTCTTATGATATGTCAAATCTACCGTCAGTTCGGAATGATTTCGAGAGAGATGAACTGACAATAAACTCAGCTCATATTCTTTCCAAATAAATTATGTACATATTTACAATAATACATATTCATTTTTAAATTCAAATTTGGCAGAACAGAGTGACCATCAGCATATGCTATTGCAAAAGTAAATAATCTCAGCCACACATACAGCACCCGTTTACAAGTATGACGGATGAGTCAGCCATCATAGCACTCAACCATATTAGAGGGAGCATACGTGACCCGGCCCAACACGCCGCCACAAGTTTGAGCTTATAGTGAACATGACTATTTCCAGTTACTCATCATCATCTTTGGGACATAATATAGGGACACAGAAACAGGAATGGGAGATGGGAAGTGACAGAAACGGGAGTTATGGGTACATCGTGGATGACTGCGTTTCCTTTGGTTGAGTGTTAATGCAGCTTACTTTCATGAGGATTTTTATTATTATTTATTTTAATTCGGATTACATCCATATTGTGTTAATAAAGACTTATAAAACTATGTTAGTAACTTATAATATACAGATGCGTATATATATTTAATTCATATATCTGTGTCCACGTCCAGAAGCACTGGGTCCACAATGCAACGATATCCAGTGCCTCTGGTCGCGTGTTCCATTCCTGTTCGATACAAAAGTATCTATTAATAAATATGTTTGTATTGGTATTTTCTATGTATATTATGTATGTATTTCTATCAAATGCTTAATACTCGTGAAGTATCTATACTTAGATTGGGACTAGATAGCGCTGTATGATTTATCCTGGATTATTATAAAAAAGTCTTGTTTTATTTTGTACTAACGAGATTTTTAGAATAGCTAGATTTTTTTGCGTTTTCAATATTTTTAATTAGTGTGCCTATTGCTCCTATTCTTGATAGCTATTGATGATGTAATCTAATTTCTATCTCTGGTCTCATCACAATACTCTAGCTCTTCGATAAATCAGCTATCAAACACTAAAAATTTTTAGTATATATAAATTACGCAATCCATACGGATTGCGTAATTTATGGTATTAATTTCAAATCATTAATGCCATAAATTACGCAATCCATACACACTCACGAACTTTATCTCTTTATAATATTAATATAGATAAGAGACGGCAATACTCATTCACATAATCAAGTGTACAGCTAGTAATTTGTAAATAAATATGCTTTATCTTGGTTCTTAATTTTACAATTCATTCATTTAACCCCTTTTTTATAACGTAACATAACATTTTATGAGTCGTAAGGGAAAAAGTCGGGGAATCAAATACGTATCATTAACTTCACAGCCTTACAAATTCAGATTGATATCACAGAGCACAGGTTCAAACCTATCCTCATGGAAAAAAGTCATAACTTGAGAGTCATTTACCATTTGAGGGTTCCGTACTAAAAATGAGTTATATTGTAGCTAGCTTTCTATTATATATATCAATTGTATTTTTTTTTTGGATGGTA